AATAGAAGAGCCAGGCATGGCGGTGGGTGTGCCTCTCTAACCCCAGCAAGGAAGGAGTGGGCCAGAGACAGAAGGATCATCAACCAGGCAGCCTGGAGCAATGCATGAGCTCCAGGCTTAGAGAGACACTTTTTGTTATACACTAACAGGGAGAGTGACGGGGATTCCGCCTCTAGCTTCCACCGTACCTGCACACGTGAACGTGAACATGTCTACCACATGCATATGTGCACACACAAATTAACACGTATATATACCCCTCCGCTAAAAATGGTGGGATGCCGACTTAGGAAACCGAAAATGCATACATGCAAACGTATGCTCATGCAGATCACTTAAGAGTTAAGGAAGAAAAATAGTTGGACACCAACGTGCAGGTTTATCTAATTCAGCTGGTTTGTGCCATTGTGGATGATGGGGGTTCACTGTCTGTGCTGGTGAGAACATCCTTGTTATACTCTCCCTTCAGCCTCCCAGCATGCTCTGTTTCAGTTCTCATTCTTTTAATGACTTCTCCCGAGTCCTTGCTCACTGGCCTTCTTCTCTTCTTCTCGTTCGATGTAAGGAAACGGGAGTTTTTCAGATAAGTCTGTTTTTGGATTTTCAATATGGGCACAGCACTCTGACTTCCACTGGTTCTGCTGCCTACCTTCCTATTCCCATCTTCTCCAGCAGTGCTCTCTGACTATGAGGTACAGTGTCTCTCCCAAGGACCCAGGCCACTTCCTACCAGTCTACGACACCAGTGCAAACAGTGCCTGTGAGCACTTTTAGAAATATCCATTATTTTATGCAAATAATAAACAAATGCTTGTTTTGCCTTTGCTGGGAGACAGCACCTGAAAGATACAGTCAGGATGGATGAGCGCGTGATGCCTTGAAGATGCTGTACTTCCAGGTTGGAGTGCCGAGTTCTGTTCTCTGTAAGAAGGGAGTCCAGAGGAGTCAACTACCTCTTCCTCACAGCTTAGTCTCCTAGGTTAATTTTTGTTGCTTTGTTGGGACATTATCTGCAATTAGTTGTTTAATCATGTTACTCTTAAGACAATGATGATATGAAAAAACTAAGCCAAGTCGTTGATGGACCTAGTTGTGAGCGCATACCTGGACAGGGTGTGCCCTGTTGTGTAGAGAGGAACTGGTTTTCTGCAGAAGCCTGATGGCTCTTCAGGGCCATGCAGCAAGGCAGAAGCTCTCTTGCTTAGGTAATGTAAAAGAATGTAAGTCACTCAGAATGTATTTATTTTCCTACAGAGAAAACTATTGCTACAAAAAAAAAAAAAAAAAAAAAAAAAAAAAAAGGAATTGAGGGGAAAAAAACTTTTAAAGGAAATATATCTAAAAATATCTATCCCATCTCTTAGAAAAATTGGCTGGAACACCTGGATTTTTCCGAGTGTAACTTTAGTTAGGCAAACATTGAAAAGATGTGTTTTTATAAAAAAGGAAAGAGTGCTTTCATGGAAAATGACGGCTGGCAGCCCTCTTCAGCAGCAGATCGGTTTTACAAAAAAGGTTTTACTTGTTTGTTTTTGTTTTAAAGAATAAGAAAGTGTGAATTCGGTCAGGGCCAGTGACATTTGCTCAGCTTGATGACCTGAGTTCTATCTCTGGTGCCCACGTGGTGAAAAGATAGAGCCCATATCTGAAAGCTGTCCTCTGATCTCCATGTGTGAAGGTTGTCATTCACACACACAGACACACACAGAAACACACACACAACCCACATGCATGCACACAAATAAATAAATTAATAAAATAATAAGAATTCAAACAAAAAGTACTGGTGATTATCATCATTATGGATTATCTGAGAACATTTACCCATCAATGGGCTTTTTTTGTAGGGTGCCTACATAAGAACAGAGACAAAGATGGATACTGCGGGTACTTTACCATGCAATACTTAAGTGTTTGCTTTAATTTTTGTAATGAACAAGCACATTAAAATTACATTTCAGAATCATAGCTGTGTGGGACATGCTTCATTAGGCTTTAAAAATTGGTGAGTGAATGAAAAAATAAATAAAAGGAAAGGAAAAGAACATGACTGATCCTAGGTATTGTGGAGGAGCATAGCCAGAGACAGACACATCTGGGAGAGTCCAGCATGATCATGACTCTGAGCCATGTGGGGTGACAAGAAGGGAAGAGAGAGAAGAGATCCAAGTATAGCAGCCAGGAGGCCAGAAGTACAAAAGGAGCAAAGAAAGGGGCAGAGAGATCAGGTAACCAAATTGTCTGGATTATAGAGGGATATATAGAGGGCCTCTGGGGTAGAGGGTAGGATATGTCAGCCATACACCCTGTAACAGGTACAGACTGAGGGATGCTGGGAGAACCTGGAGGCCAGGTCTGCTTTGATATTTTAAATAGGCACCACAACTACTTGATCTGGGTTTGAAACTTAACAGTTTTCTCTCTTATAAGTATGCAGAACTGTATTTACCACATACCTAACCCAGGTGCTAGGCAAATAGTGCTGATTTTAAGGGGCTTTAAGTGATAAGGAATGTACCAATATCCTTAGTATATTGAATGGGGACTCAAAGAAAAACTACGAAAAAATTCTGAGAAAAGTTGTAGAGCATGATTTAATAGCTAAATAATCCATTGCTATACATGGGTAAAAATATAAGGACATACTTTACTTTAGTCATAGAGCAATGAAAACTGAGTAGAACAAGCAGTCTGACTGTATACCTCTAGGTGTAGGTGCTGTTTTTAAACTATTTTATTTGGGGTTCCTAAAGCTTCTACTTCCTTTCCAAAACCCTAACCCAAGGTGGGAGAGAAAGAAAGTTAAAAGGGAAAAGGGACATAGACTTCTTTAGACTTAGTTCGGTCTGGTTAGGATCATCAGGGTCTTTGGGAAAATACCAATCTCAGTCATGAGGATATCTACCAGTCTAGGAATAGCAAATGAGCAAATGCAGCAAATGCAGCAAATGCAGCAGCCTTCTTCCTCTTCTATTCATATCCCAGAAGCCCCTCTCCTCTCTGGGCTCTCATATTTATACCCTCTCAGAGTCCTCAGAATTCCACTATCTGCTGCTTTCAAAGACAATGCCCCTCTCTGAGTGGCACAAGGTGTTACCAGTTGGCAAAGACTATACCCCACACGAAGAAATTACCAGCTGTGGATAAACTAAGGCAGTCCCATGTCCCACAGTTGAGATTAGAACAAAAACATAATATAACTGGGTTTTTAAAGAACCCAAAACTTCCACCACACCTAGGAACTCACACACACAGCTCTTGGTAATGTACTTACCAAGTTCATGTTTGGATCTGAATAGCACCAGTGGCAACATTTCCTAGAAAAGGAACTGGTCATATATACCTATCATCAGTGGCAAACTTGGTTGGGCTTGCCTGGCACAGCAGACTGTGAGAGAATTGGTGAAGTCATCAGAATGTCTCATGACTCAAAATAGATTATACAGAACACATTAAAACACTGTAGGAAACAGACAAATGCAGGCAAGGCAATAAAAAGATGTCCTATGTCATTCTTTCCCATTTCTAATTGCTCATGCTTTCATGCAGTTTAAAAATGTAAACTATAAGACATAATTCTTACAGAGATGCTGACAGGGCCTGAATACAGGAGAGCTTATGATCAGACATGAACACACTGAACACTTGCAGCTTTTGTTATAGTTTGCTTCATAGTTCTCCCCTACATTCTCCTGTGGTAAAGGCTTGGTCCCAGCTTGTGGCACTTTGGGGAGGTATTAATGTTAATGTAGTTGAACATGAACCTATGATGGTGATTCAGCTCATAGTTAGGTTAGTTTCTACTTGGTTGACCTTATTGCTGTTTGGCGTCTGGAAAGGTAATGAGTGATACAGGGCAGAGGCAGCTGAGAACCAAAGTCAGGAAGAGGAGTGATGAGGATCCAAATCCCTTTCTATGGACTAACCTGATCACTAGGCCCGCTCTTCTAACCTTTCTACCATTTCAACAGTGTCAGCCTGGGAACTAAATCTCTGAGACAAGGGCCTTTGAGGAAAGCATTCAGAGCTAAAGTACAGACTGTGTGTTCTTTTAAGTGTGTCTAACCTGGGTCACAGGGCCACATGCCTGTTACGATAGCTGTGAGATTGGCCCAATCCATTTATAAGTAGCAATGTCATGCTTCAGTGTCAAAAGGTTGGACAACCCTACCTGTCAGGGCAGGCATACATTATTACATTAATCTTTCTACCAACTGTACAACACAAATAAATTATTGTACACAGCTAATTAAACAGAGCCCAGTGTCATGAAGGGATCTACACAGGTTGCATAGCTAATAAGCAGAAGAGCAGAGGTTTGATTTTAGATTGACTACAGTCCTGAGCCCAGGCTTACTTTACCCCATTTATTAAATGTTACTTTCTTCTTGGCCAAAGGAAGTGACATTAACAATGTTCTCATCGACCTTTCTACCCTCTTTTCTAGTTCTCTGCACTATAGCAAGTCCCTAAAGTCTCTGCACTTTGTCACATGTTCAGAATCTAGCTAATGCTTCATTATTGGCTCTCACACCTTCTGTCCACTTTCTCTTATTTCAGGTTAGCTACTTCAAAACTGAAGTCAGGTGCAATGGAATTTATAGCCAACAACTCAAGAAGAATCTGTACAGCCCAATCCCAGCAAGAGCTAGGCCTTGAGTCTATAGAAGAACTATGCAGTCTTTTCTTTCCTGACGAGTTAAAGATTGTGCCAGCCACATGTTCACATGTGATTCCGTGGGAACTGTGGATATCAAGGGTGGGGACGCCTGAGTTGGATGATCTGCTGTTAGCAGAAGCTGGAAATGTTTAGGACTATATCTGAGTCAGAGGACTTTGAACTATGGACTTATTCTAACAGTTGCTTTTAATTAAATCAGCCTGGCTTGCTTGGATTCTGGCAGGTCAGCTGTTTAGAAAGCTTCCATTCTTTGGAAATGTTCTGACTTTCCCAAGCTTTTATTCAGCATCTTGGATTTTGTTTTCATTTCCATTTTCAGATTTATAATCGCTTAGATACAAAGTGCTGTGGATTCAGACCTCGCAAGGAAGACGCCTGTATGCAGAATGGACTAAGGCCAAACTGTGATGACCAAAATTCTGTGACTTTAGCACACATTATCCAGCGAAAGAATGACCCCAGGCATTTGGTCTTCATAGACAATAAGGGCTTCTTTGACAGAAGTGAAGACAACTTAAACTTCAAATTGCTGGAAGGCGTCAGAGAGTGAGTGTTTTGTTTGCTGTGGAAATCTCATCTCATTCTTTAGCCTAGACTGTTTTGGAATTCCCTGTGTAGCTCAGACTTCCCAGGAACTCACTGTCATCCAAGCTGACTCTAAACTTGCAGTTATCTTCCTGCTTCAGCTTTCAGAGCGCTAGGATTACAGAAAGGATATGTTACACCCAGAATGAAGATTACATTTTCTTGTGGAATGACATCTTGGAAGACCACATGTTTGTTAAACAATTAATAAAGTTCGGAGAAAGCTCACACCTTATGTTAGATAGACTTAATTTCCAAAGAAATCATGAGTGAGGGACAAGCGACCCAAGGAGGAAAAGCAACCCTCTAGAAGCAGCCAGCACATCTCTGAGCAGTCCACAATACCTATACAGCTTCTGCTGCACTCTGTTTCCACTGCCTTGATCAGCCTTCATGGTGAAAACCCATGTGGGTGAGGCTGGACGGATGCAGGCTGACAGGTGACAGAGACTCTGTCATTCAGGCACAGGAATAGACATGGGAAGAACAATAGAGATATCCAAATCTGTAATAAACAGTTTGGCATGTCAATAGAACTAATAAGCATGGTAGGATGCCATATTCTTGATATACCCAAGTGACTGCTAGGAATAGAGTAGAAAAAGAGCTCTCTGAAGAGTAGGGCATCAGAGGACGGTGGGCCCTTTAAGCTGGGTAGGAGAGGTTTGAAGTACTCAGAATCTTTTTGGTAGACTTAGAGTGTGGGGCTGGGTACAAAGGAGGGGCCGCAGGAGGCTGAACAAAGAGCTGTTACATTCAAAATTGACCAAAATCTCTGAGGTGACCCAAACAAGTTAGGAGACATTTGGTAGGACAGGATACAGGGTAAAGGGAGGGAGGCACATGAAGCTAAAGGAGATAGTGCTGTCAGCCTCAGGGCATGCTGATCTTATGCATTTTTTAATATAGGAGATTCAAATTGATGGCTTTTGGCTGGGGTGGGGGTGAAGACAGGCTCAATTCTCTTTAGGGGGCTGCTTCAGTAAGTATGTGGGCAATACCTTGGATGTTCTCCTCCTCCTCTTCCTCCTCTGCCTCCTCTTCCTTCTCTTTCTCAGTTTTCTCCTCCTCCTTCTTTTGTTTGGGAGTCAGGGAGGTCACAAGGGGAAGTGACCTGGGAGGACTTAGAAGCAAGTTATTAGGATACACAGTACGAAATTACCAAATAGCCAATAAAAATATTAAGTTGGAAAAAAGAGTAGCTGGAGCTGGCTACAGAGTCTGATCAATTCCACTTCATGAGTGAATTTCATAGTCAGTGGAGCCACCCTTGTTCACTCAGGAATAAGATTTTTCTAAGGAATTAGGTTTGATTGGAAACTTAAGAGTTCGTAAGATAACACTAGCTCCCCACGAGCTAAGCAAAATCAGGAAAACATCCCAATAGGTCTGAAGTCAGTGGTGTAACTCAGCTCTTCCAAACCCACACCCACACCCACTGGTTTCTCTTGTAATAACTTTGCGTTCGGATGCTCTTTCTCTTACTGGCATGCAGCTCAGTGTGCTCTGTACCGAGATCAAACAAAAGCAAGCCCCGAAGAATGCAGAAGTGTAAAACCCACTGATGATACTCTGCAGCATGTTTCAATTGTTTCTCCTTACCTTTATACTTCAATAACGTGGATTTTACAAACTCTCAACACTAAAAAGCATACCCTTCCTGTGGGTTTTGAGAGTCCCAAGAATTTTTGCCACATCCTTCCCTTGTTGATGCTCTTCACATCTCTGTCAGTTGAAGGCAGAATACATGGCAGATTCTTTCTTTTAAATGCCTAAGCCATGGAGAATTTTTACATAAGAAAATTGACATTCCTAAGATATCACTTACTGAATTGATATTACAGGGACTTATTTCTATACAGGATTCAGAGTGCCAAAGGCTAACATCTATCTATCTTAAACACTCACATAAATATGAACACTTTTATTTATTCTTTCAAAGATTAAACCTTAACTGCGTTATGAGGCATAATTGGTTTAAAGTTAAACCTTCTTTGAATTAAGAAGCATTAAGAAGCAAAGGTGAAGCCTTTATTAAGCTCAGACTCACACATTGGATATTCCCATTAACCAATGCAATGTAAAAACTAAAAGCAGAGTAATGGTTTGTTTTCTTTTATGAACCATACTACTAGTCACTGAAGAGCTTGGCAGTTTTAATAATCTCATCTCATACACTCTGCCTCAGCTAAATTTGCTAAAGGGCTATAGAAGTTACAATTATGGATATTAATACATTATACAACACAATGTTCTTCAGTCATAGCCCACAAGACTGCACAGTACATGTCTTTAGGGAGCTCAAAGCACATAATAGGCCTTATTTAACTCCACACTTCTGGAGCTTGCTAAGCACGTCCAGTTATGTGGCCTCTGGTCTTCTGGCATCATCAGAATTCCTGACTCTGGATCCTGTGTCTTGTCCCCAGCTGTGACTTTCAATAAGTGCATGCCCTTGTCATGCAGTTTTTAAGGTATAACAGGATTTATTTAAAAGTTACTCGTGAACCTCAGTGATTACATGGTGCTTTTAGCAGAATTTCTGAGAGCTAGAGAAGGCCAAGTTGGGAGTGTATCAGAGTATAAACAAAACTTCTAAGATCTTTTGATGCTATATGTGCCAGACCCTAGCTCTAGTCTTTCTACATGAAAAGAAGCAAGTTCAGTGAACTCTCTCAAGATGATTCAGCCAGATCCTTCTTAAGTGAACTCAGAATTTCCAGTGAGATGTTTTTGAATATCCTTGTTCTAAAAGTTTAGTTTTTCTGATTTATTTGAAAACAGTTGCCAGCTTTCTGTTGCTGTAACTAATGATTTACTGTGGCTCACAGCGTTAGAGGTTTCAGTCCATGGTGACCGGGCTCTGCTTCCGGGATGCGTTGGTGGCACTGAATGCCACCACATCTCCATTAACCATTTCCTGCCCGTTAACCAATGCAAAGTAGAAGAGAACAGCAGAGTAATGGTTTTGTTTCTTTTATGAATAGGACTTTCATAAGCAAGGATGGGGAGGTCCTTTTCACCCAATGACCAGGAACTGAAAGAACTGGAGAGGAAGGGATGGAGTCCGAGTATCCCTTTGTAGGAACGCTCTAATGACCCCATCAGTCACCAAACCTCGCCTCCCAAAAGAACCACTCTCATCCAGTCACAGTCTTCTAAGGATGCTTTTTTCTTGTATTTTATTTTTTAGAAGTGTCTACTTGTCAGTGACAAAAACATGTTGGTTCTCAAGGTCCTATTTGATAGTGTGATTTATGCCAGATTAATGAAGGCAGAGCAGCTGGGGGAAGGAATAATATTTCTGAGCAATTGCTAGGAATGAAATATTGCGTTATCGTTTCAGGTTTCCCGAATCGGCAGTTTCTGTGCTGAAGAGCCAGCACTTACGGCAGAAACTCCTTCAGTCTCTGTTCCTTGATCGGGTTTACTGGGAAAGTCAAGGAGGCAGGCAAGGCATGGAGAAGCTTATCGACGTGATCGAGCAGAGAGCCAGAATCCTTCTCACTTACATCAATGCACACGGGGCCAGAGTTGTGCCTATGAACGACTGACAAGGGCTTTCTGCCTTGCGGGCTGATTAGTGTGACATTTACTTTTTCTTAAATAAAGGATATTCACCTCATGTGTTGCTAGGAGTGAGGTAGCAGACTGGAAACAGGAAACGGTCCCAGTACGTATCATGGACCAAGTTAAAAAGTTCTCTAGATTTGAGAAGTATGCAGATTCAGGAAGTTTTGGAATAACATATCAACTGCAAAATGCCTGATTTTTTTTTTTTTTCTTTTGCCTAAAACTCTGGCTTGTGTGTGTCTCAGCATGGCTATTCCACGGTGACTATTACTGATATTTAAACCATTCTCATGCCATTTGCCTGAGCTGACCAACGGCTGGTAGAGAGTTGACTGACATTCTCCTTTGCCGATTGTCACCACACCCTTCTCAACCCTCCGCGGAGGCAATTTGACACCAGGAAATTGAGGCGAGCGATCTGCAAAAGCAGCAATCCTAAAACACCTTCCAAGTAGACATGGTAGTGGGTTTACTACAAATGTGCAGTATATTCTGTGGAGTCTAAAAACAACCAGCTATATCTGATCAACAAAAAGCCTACATCCATCCCTGTTAAGAAATTCACTGCCGGCCTAGAAAGATCCCTGCACAACAATTTGCATTGGTTTACTTTGCTGTCTCAGTTTTGATCCAATTTGTGCCTGGTGGATAGGAAACTAAAAAGTTATGAGACAGGATATTACCTATTTGAAAGTTTATTTGTAAAGTCTCTTAATGTTCCTATTGGTTAGCTGGATTTTAAAGAAAATGTTAAGGTCTCATTTTGTCCAGGCTGGCTTTGAAGTCCTTATGCATCCGAGGATGACCTTGGTCTTCTGATGTGCTGTCTCTCAATTGTTGGGACCTGTTACACACCTGTAAAGGTGTGTAAAACCATGCTCAGCATCAAACTTGGGGCTTCAGTCATGCTAGAAAGGCACTGCATGACTCCCATAACCCCAGCCCACTTTAATGAATGTTTAACATTTGTCATTTTATAAAGGGTATGCTGTAATTTCTATAGTTTTTCAAATTTCTCTGTGTAGTTAGGTTTTATCTAATTTAGCTGATGTTATCTAGGTATTGGTCTACATAGTGATATCCTTCTGAAATGTGCCCCCCCTTTACAAAAGCAGATTGACTGACTTCCCTTTCCCCTTTGGAAAATTAAAAATAAAAAGCTACAAATTTTTATCATACTTGTCTTTTCTTTTGTTCAGTTTTTGTTATCAATGTGTACATTTTCCTACATTCTGATTATGAATAATTTAATATCAATGTGAACTTTTAAAACAGTTTTACATCATAGCAAAAAAAAAAAACAAAAAACATTTGTGTGGATTCTAATTGATACAAACACACCAACTTGTCAACATAGTAAGTCAGGTATAAGAGAAGACAGACCAGGGGGAGAACACTCACTGATCTCTCAGTTCTGCTTTTCAAGACTCATGTCCAAGCATTGTATTTATCATCATATGTGCTTTCCCTTGGAGCGCTGACCTTTGTCACAATCTCCGAGGTTCCTCCCACTGTTAGCTGAGCATGACTGTGGGCCCTGCTAAGTCAGCTGCTATGACTTTTACCTCACACAGCATCTTCTTAAGTATCCTGAAAACACTTTTATACCCTCACTTGACTTAGAAATAAAAGATTTTTGCCAAGTTGTTTCATGCCTTATCATGGTGATCAACTTTCATTTTAATACTTTTTTATTTTTACAAAATTTACCATTTTAATTTACATTGTGATGTTAATTACAGGTGTTTTGAGCTTCTTAAAATTTTGCTTTCATGCCTCTAAAGCTGGATGTGCCTCTGGACATCCAGGCCTCTTTCAGGAGTTTTGTATTTTTGCCTAGTTGTTTCAAGATGCTTAATACTAAACAAAGGTCCCTAGAATATTGATTATTTTAATAATTTATCTTTTAAGGATTTATTTATTTATTACAATTTATTCCCTTTGTATCCCAGTTGTGGTCCCCTCCCTCATCCCATCCCAGTCCCACCCCTTTCTTCTTCTCCCATGCACCTCCCCAAGTCCACTGATACAGGATGTCCTCCTCACCTTTTATCTGACCCTAGCCTATCAGGTCTCATTAGGACTGGCTACATTGTCTTCCTCTGTGGCCTGGTAAGGCTGCTCCCCACTCAGGGAAAGGTGATCAAAGAGCCAGCCACTGAGTTCATGCCAGAGACAGCTGCTGTTCCCCTTACTAGGGAACCTACTTGGATACTGAGCTGCCATGGGCTACATCTGAGTTCTAGGGGTCCTAGGTTATCTCCATGCATGGTCGGAGATTGGGTTGGTGTATCAGTCTCAGAAAAGACCCCTGTGCCCAGAATTTTTGGTTCTGTTGCTCTCTTTGTGGAGCTCCCCTCCAGGTCCCAGAAGATGGAAAGATCTCCCATGCTCATGGAGCGGTAGGATTGACATAGTGAAAATGGCTATCCCATCAAAGCAATTTACAGATTCATTGCAATTCCCATCAAAATACCAACACAATTCTTTACAGAATTTGAAAGAACAATTCTAAATTTCATATAGAAAAACAAAAACCCCAGAATTGCTAAAACAGTCCTGTACAGTAACAGATCGTCTGGAGGTATCTTTTAAGGATTTATTTATCTGTGCGTGTGCCTGTGTATATACATGCATTTGTATGCAGTACCCAAGGAAGCCAGAAGAGGGCACTGGACCCTCTGAAACAATTGTGAGCGACTGACGTGGGTTCTGGGACTGAGCTCCCCTGGAAGAACAGTGAATACTCTCAATAGCTGAACACCTCCCCAACCCTTATATTCTCATTTTAATGATGTATTTTCTTTTGTAAACAATAAGTAATTGATGATGCATTCTCAACAATACCTGCGGGCCAACCTTTGAATTCTAATAAGTAACCTTTTAGTGAAATGATGAGGATGTTTTCGCATTTCAGGCATGCTCAAATTCTACTGCGATTTGGTTCGTATTAGCCCATTATATGGTTTATTTGCTCTGTTGTAACAGGTTTTAAATAGAGGAATTTAGCTTGGCTCACATACAGAGCTTATTCTGGCATTTTAGCCAATGTGAAAATGCACACGTATCTTAGACCTTGTAATAAAATGTTACAGATTAAAGTTGTGCCCCCTTTTTTTTGGTTTTGTTTTGATACATGAGTTAATTTTTAAAAGCCAAATACAGCACCTCCTCACTCTCCTTTGCAATGGTCTACTCCACTCTCTCTCTGTTCTATACTGTCCTTTGTTTTGATGACAAATATTCTGTTTAAACTGGAAAACGTAACAAACAATAAACTGCAAAAGTGAGTTTCTTTGTTACTTCTTCAGTGAAAAAAGAGACAATTTAAAGGTCAAGATGTCTACCTGGATCATGTGTACATACGTTTGATGTCAGAGTTCACCATCACTATGCTTTCTCTTTGTGGACATATAGCATTGTACTATAGGGTTGGCTAAAAAAAAAAAAAAGATAGTTAACAGATATCATATATTTTAGGTGGAGATTTAATTTTTTGGTTTAGTCTGTCGTTGGCATGAGCCTTACAGTATGTTTAAAGTCTCATATATTCACATTTAATAAATTTGTTAAGTACTTAGAGAACTGATCAAAATATACAATATCCTAGAATTATTCTTAAAATAGTTATATCAAAAAATATTTACATCTTTGGAGTTGAGTAATGTATTTATTCTACTGTTCCTTTAAGTATACATTACATTGCATGCAGTGGATAAACTATCTAGATAGAAAATCATTTGTACATTGTCTTACTAAATTTTACTGTTTATTTGAACACAGACTCAGGTAAGTCACATTTAATGTATTAGTCTGAAAAAGATACTGGAATTTTATATGAATCAAATAAAATGAATTTGATTTTCTTTTTAGTAAAAATGAAGTGATATAGCTGAGAATGAGGCTGTGGGAGTCCGAGGTATTCCGTAGCCTGCCGTGCCGTGACTGTTTGAGCCCAAGAAGTCGGAGTCTCCTGGAAAGCCCCCTGAGCACCGTGTGTGCTGGCACCCGGATGGCCTGCGCTCCACCATGGACGGAAGGATGGCATCCGTTGGGAACCAGCACTGAAGAGTCAACTGGAGCGATGGCAGGTGTGAGCCAGCTTGGCGTACAGTCAGCCCTGTCTCAGAAATAAATGAAACCCAGACCAGAGCAGCAGAATGCAAGAACTTTCATTTTGTGAGAGACATTGTGACTTCTCGAAGTACTTGTCTGAAATTTGGAAATAGCCCACTCTGGTGTCTGCATGTTCTTACAATGCTGGGCTTGATTTTCTTCTGAATGACTATCAAACAGGGTTTTAGGGAAGAAGTTAGATTGCAGGTTCATGTGCCATGAAAATACTTTTTTTTTTTTTTCCTGGTGGGACAAACAACCTTAATGGTTAAAATTTATTACCATGTTGGACACTAACCAGTTTTATATCTACTCCCGTGATCTTATAATATGGCTTATAAATATTTAGCTTTGAAACTATCTTTAAATGAATTCATCACTATAGTAATGTTATAGTCATTATTTGAATAAAAAACTTCATATGTATTTATATTTTCCTAAGAATCAATTTTATCTTTTGGAAAATTTTGCTTTAATAAACTTCTAACTACTGTTGTATGCTATTGTCTGTCTGAAAGTTATCATTTTAATTTTTTGAAAAGTTCACTTAAACAAACTCTTAAGGCATACTAATATAATTTTATGACTGAACGGTTTCATTGATTTAGCATTTACCCAACTCTCACCCAAGAAATAAACATCTAATGAAAAGAAGTGACTTAATTTTCTCTAACTTGAGCAAATGGTTGATCTAGATTCCTTAGTATTCTGATGTAGAAAGTTAAAAAGTCAAAACACCAGCAAAAGCCATTGTTTACTGAGCCTGAAGACTTCAAATGGGTAATCATTTCATTTTTGTGAACTTGCAGGGAGAGAAATAAATAGAAGGTTTATATAATTTCCTGGCACAATTGATTGGCAATCTACTATCTTACTCTCTGTGCTACTCAATGCAAATGTTGAAATTAATAAGCAAACATTTAGAATATTAACCCTCAATCAAGACCCCATGGTTAAGCTTTTGGTTCTTTCTTTAGCAACTGAGTTTAAGAGACAAATTCAATTGAAAAATTGTCTAAAATTAGAACTAAAACTTTGTCCCTGAAATGTTTAAAGTTTGTGTGTGTGTGTGCATTTGAGCCTCATTTCCACTATTAACTATTACTGTTCACAGTGAGTATTCCGCGCTATCTGACAGCTGGGGAGACAGATTAAATTCAGTATGTCCAGGGCGCACCACTATGTCCTAGTGCAGCATTACAGGAGTTAGTGCATAAACACACACCCCAACTAGTAAATCATCGTCCAATTGTATTCCGTGTTATAACAAGAGCATTAAAAAGCTTGGAACTCCAGATCTCTTTGCGGAGCTGTTGAAACTACTCTGTTCAATAGTTCTGCCTATAATTTCAGTGGGCTTTCATACCTATGTACCCATTCATGGATGGAGAGCTTTTCCAGTCTCTTGGGTCTACAGTCTCTTAGGGTTAAAATGTTTTCTTTCCTGCAAAACTAAGAGAGTAAGAGATTATATTACACAAATATATATATAAAATTGGAAACTTTGTATTTTGAATGAAATAGTTAACAAACTGTTGTATTTACAAATAAAAACTAAAGAATCATTACTGTTAGTAATTCTTAATTTTACACCATACTATTAGTTCCCAATTTATTGGCACAATTATAGAATGTCATTTGTATTTATTTAATCCTCTAATTTATTAAAATTCTGTTACCTGATTTATTTGATCTCATTTAAAACAAAAAACAATAAAACCTGTGGTCTGTTTTGGAATAGGAGAAAAACTAAGTTAATATGTGGCATTAAAATAAACTACTTGATTATTACTCAATAGTTTACTGCACATTCGTAATGCTCCCACATTTAATTTAACAATTTCCTAAACAAATCAATTAATGTTTGCCAATGGAGTTATTTCCTTGACATTGCACAAAGTGTTAAGGCCATGTGACCTGTGCCTTTGACTCTCTGAGGCATGGGATATCTTACTCCTGTCACCCAAATGCCTGGTCCTTGTTTACAAACAGCTGTCTCATGTCAGAATAGGGCATATTCCCTACTTTTTAAGCTCTTTGATCCCCTGGGGATGGGC